AGTAGGCCACTCATCATTGTTACCCTTTTCGATATTGAAATAGTAAGGTTTATATTATATATATTTATATAGCCTATAAGACAGGGATGGCGAACCTTTCTGTACCCGTGTGTCAAATAAAAATGTTGGTTGGATTTTATTTACCTGGCGTGTCAACTAATTTGATGACCCTTTTTTTAAACTTAAAAATTCCTTCATCCATAGTTTGAACGATAAAAAAACAAGTTGAGTGTGAAACTATAAAATAGCGTGCGCGTATCATAGGATCGTCATCTCATGCTATAGGATGTGAGTATTATAATTTTAACATTAAACTATATTTATGAATTACAAACAGGTTTTAAATATTTTAATTTCAACGAACAGATTCCATTTACCAACATTTTGGTAATAATATATGGGCATGTGATAAGGGATGTAATAAGCTTGACATTTTCATTTTTCTTGGAAAATTTAATTTTATATGTAATTTTTCAAAAGACGTCTCCGCATATTTTGTCTCCTTCTTACACACGTACGACATACCAAATTTATGTTCACCCGTTTCAATAGTGTGCTGTTAGTTTTGATATTAAAGTGAATTGACCTATTATTAAATTTCTAGATAAGAACATTATCTGTGTTCGCTCGTTGTTTTTCTTACAATATTTTAATTTTTAAGTGAGTTATGAGCATTTTCAAATATTAATATTAATAAATCACTTAAAAATTAAAGAACACAGATAATGTTCTTACCTAAAAGTTTAATAATAGGTCAATTCACTCTAGTAAATAAGTATAATAATAATAAACTATACTTTTTTGGTATTCATATTTGAACTGTAAGGCAGAAAGAATATTGGGGTTAGGGAGTTTAGGTTGGCCTAGTGGCTATAGCTTACTTATAAATATATTATATTTATGCCCATATGAAATTTGAGTCCTAAATCTGCTACTGCAGACAACAGGTTGTACGTGCTTAAGACGGAGACAACAAATAGCGTCCTCTTAATAGTATACCTATAGCTAATATTAAAATGGGTAAGTGGTGGTACAAGTACACAGTTTTAAATATAATTATGTAGGTTAAATAAACTGTAACTATATTATATCAAGGAATTTATTTGACAAAAAATTAATATGAGTAATTATAAAATTTTCATAATTTTAGATTCTGAGTGGAGCATGTTTACAAACATTTCATGTTTTCAATTTCCAATGTTTTTAGTTTTTTTTTATATAAATATCAACTAAATTTTATTTGTTGGGTCAAAAAGATTGAAAATGTAATACAAATCTCCTAATAAATTGCTACAATGGCAGTTGTAAAATATTAAAATAGATAAGCACATTTTTTTATAAGCATCAAAAGTTCGAATTTTGACAAAATACCACAAAAATGTTCAAATTATTTTGTAGTTAAAAATTTATAAAATGTTTAACTTTTGTAATTATAGCTAAAAATCAAAAATTAAAAATAAGGTTCCGCATAAACAGGTAAATAAATTACTTTATTTACAATAATATTATCAATTATTATACTTAGTAATTAATAACTATTATACACAGTATAAAAATATTTGCTAACTATGGTAAAAATATTTTCGGGAAAATAATAGATGTAAAAATGTTTTAAAAAGTTGCGTAAATAATTAGGAAATATTTTAGTTATATTCTTTGGCCAAGAAGTTCATATTTTTGAAAATATTTTATAAGACATTTTAATCATATAGGGTGTCCCGTGAGGATTTACTCATTGCGATATCTCCTGAAATAATGGAGATATCGTAATTATGTTTTTTTATTAAGACTCGCAGAGGTAAGCACTACAAATATTTTATTTTTTTATTTTTGAAAAAATTGAAGATAGCCATTCTATAGAGTATATTTTTGTGAACATTTTGAGCTTTTAACATTTTATTTTCATTAATCTCATGATTTTTAATAATTTTTTTAGTTTATTAGTAAAACGTCAATAAACTGGTTTTTGTCTGGGCGGCGAGTCCCCCTCTACGGCTAATGAGTAAATCCTCACGGGACACCCTGTATATTTTCGAAAAATATTTTTATAGAAACTTTATAAAATTATTAAGTCAACAATTTTATGCAATCATAATATTTTGTTATAAAGAGAAGAAAATATTTACAAAATATTATTAGTCAAATATTCATTATTCAAGCACTTTAAAATATTCCCTTAATATTATCATTTCCCAAATTATGTGTGGGAATATAATATATTAGTATAGTAAACACATTTTTTTATTGTTATTTCATTTTCAAATTTCTACAAAATTAGATATTTAAACGAAGAAGAATATTTTAGTTTTGTTTGATATTTTAAAAATATTATTCGTGCGTACTTGAAACTTCTGAAGTATATTATTAAATACAAATAATATTAATTCAACTTAATAATAATAATATAATATAATATCCTTTTATTAACAAACCGTCTCCGCTCTGAATCGTTTTTCGTAGGTATACAATGATATTGTATCATTGAATTCAAATTTAATGCCATCCTTAACAATGATCCATTTGTAGTCTACTGTACAACAGAGTGACATAAACTTACCCTCTTACATATTTTTGAAGATTCTTTTTCGTAATAAAACTGTAAAGTTTATAAATAATTTTAATAATTTTTCTTATATTTCGTCCAAGTATAGCTAGTATAGGTATTCAAAATAGTAATAATTAATAAATGTAAATAATAAATATTGTTGATATTATTAATTATTATAATAATTGTGTTGTCCACGAAGGAGACAAGGAGTTATTGGTAATTTCAGAGGAGAGCGTGTTAGCATAATACAAGTTCAGATTATAATTATTTGGTACCAACTGAACTGATTTTCAGCTACGGTCGCGTCTCGAGTACTCTCGACACTGCATGTCGACAGGCGTTACATACCTTTACATACAAATATAAAATTGTACATTTATACGTATAGTGCGGCGCAACCCGTAGGTATTGTACCTCGTTTTAATATTTCAACAATACATAATAACGATATCGACTATACCATGTACGATATACATATAATACATCGAGACAATCGATGTGAATTGTGAACGATAAACAGGTACCTATGTGGCTATGTACAATATTATATGCAATATTATGCGTAACGCACTAACGCTACCCACAGACAAGTAATACTTGTCATGACCCGATGAACGACGGGAGCACCGCGTTGCAATATATTTCACGGACGATGATAATAATAATCATATTAATTATACGACTGAATTTAGTTATTGCTTATAACTTATTATTACAAGACTGTATACATTCAATTATTCAAATATTATACCTTATTTATTCATTTCACATATTTATATACGTTTTTTTTGATCTGTTATTTAAAAAAAAAATCATAACTATGCAGTAAAATAAAGTTTTATTTTTAATTATTATAATTTTAATTTTGAACTCGTTAGGTTTGATTTGAATTTGTAGCTAATTCAGGCGATCTTTCGCTGTACCTATTCTTTTTTTCAATTTACAAAACAAATGTTTTAAATATGTATATGGGGCTTATATAAGAAAAAACATTTACTTAATTTGACATTAAAATTAACTAACTCATAAACTACCTACTTCATATCACGGATAAAAATATAACTCGCCAATTTACTTCAAAAAAAAAAGTAACTCTTTATGTAACTTAGTTAAAAATTACTTAACTTGAACTTTTTAACTTGTTAATAATCAGCTTTTGTCCGAACTTATAAGGTATAGTATAATATAGTAATAACAAATAATGCAATGTTGCAATACATTGAATTGTCAACTTTTAAATGGCACCCAGGACCCAAAGTCAAATAACACGACTACTTCGACGTTAAATGCTCAATGCGTACCTACCAATATTGTGATACTATTATAATATTATATTGTTTAAGAATATGAATAACCGATTCCATAGTACCTATTTACCAACCAATAATAATTATCAGTTACAGTTGAACTGTTTTATAGCATACTATAAAGCATACTATTGCTGTAGGTACATGTATATAACATTATGTTATGATGTAATCGCTTTTTAAAATGAATATATTATATAATTTAAAAAACAAATTTTTACACCTCCTGCGGGCTCATCTGGCGGGTTCGAAATCGAAGAATTATACACGATGCTAACATAGTTGGAGAGTATGAGGGGCGGGGACTACATCCGTCACTGGATCGCTACGTGCAGCATGTATATTATAATATGTACTCGCGCGTTCGTATACAGTTTCGTCTATATATCTATATCCCGTCTATTGCTATATGCCTATATAGCTACACGGTTATAACTTAAAACGCGCGCGTGTATATACTATGTAATATTATGCATGGGTATACAGCAGTGAGTTTTTATGCACCAACTATTGTTTAATTCAAAATAATATTATAGAACGGTCATTGCACGGCGGGGCATGTGCATGTTGTTTTGGGGACCTGTGTGGTGGAGTGCGGTGAGGGGACACGGTATTCGGCGTGCGGCGAGAGGAGTATAGATATCTAGATTCTAGACGTCTATATAGGTATACTGCGTTATAATAGCGGTACCTACAGCTCGGTAACGGACGAATATTTGAACTGAGAGGTGGTAGGCGCACGGAGGGGAAAAAAACCATGAAATGTTTTCAAATAATAATAATATATGCTTAGGCCTATGTAACGTATCTACTACGGCCGCCTCGAACATTGTATATATTATAATTTTCGTTATTATCGCTCGTACGACTGTTTCGGGTAGACGTGCGCGGTGCATAGGCATATTGTAGGTACCTTTAGTATATATCTAACTGGCAGTGCAGTTGCAACAGTATTTTATTTCATATAGGTATCCCATCCGCCTACTATTATTATTTTCTTCCTAATAAAATATATTATAGTCAGCCGAGTGTTTCATTCGATTTACCATTATTATTTAATAATAGCTAGCGTGAAAAAATATTGTACACGTTTGTAACGTTAGAAATCATACGAGTAAAATATTCGGGTTGGCGGCGACAACATCATGTCCAACTCTAATGAAATAGAGGAAAATTTTGAGACACTCAAGGATGTGAGTCGAGTGTATTATTTCAACCGTTAAATACCTACATGTTTTTTATATTTTAACCAACTTTGTATACTTGACTACCAGCATTAAATATTACCTGTATAATCGTATGCTTAATTAATTACGTGACTAACTAACTGATATTTAAAATATCATACTATTATTTTTATAGCTGTCCGCCACCATGAGCAAAGCGATTGAAGAACTCGAACAGCAGCAGTCCAAATTGGAAAAGGACAATAAGAGGCTCAACGAAACCAACGATATGTTGCTTGAAATTACCAAGAAACAGCGATTGATGGTAGGCTCGTCGAAAGAATCAAGAGGTAAGAGATGTCTTAAACGAGTACCTACAACAACAAATGTTTTTGAGTTTCGAAGAGTTGCAGTACAAACTGCTATATAGGCAATATGCATATTGCATACTAATACACTAGGTATATATTATATTGGTCGTATCCAAAGTTTATTTCGTAGGTATGGGGGGAGATCAAAATTATGAATAATATGTTATGTACCTACTTGTCACAAATGAATATAAAACATTTAATTTAAAAATAATTTCCCTACATTTTAACTTGTGGGGAGGGGGACTCTATTACACCCTAATAAATACGTCCCTGCATAAGGCATATTTACTTATTATTATTTATTATTATAGCTCGAATATACCTATAAATTCCCTACATAATACCGAAAATTGTCCCATTAAAAAATACATTTTTTACCTAAAAACTCTAATAATTGCACAAAAAATACACTAGGTATAAATTAATATATTAAATAAATTCAAATTATAATGTAAAATTGTATAGGTACGTTTATAAATATAAAAAAATGATATAATATTATCGCTCAAAGCTCAATAAGAAAATACTCCGATAAAAGTTGTTCAGTTGTATGCAATCAAATCGGCATTGTATGTTTTGATATTTATAATACAGTAGTTTTCAGTACAATTAAAATTAACAGTTTTGTTGGTTTCCATAGATACTATACCTGTATAAATGTATATAGATGTATATACAGAGTGTCCCGTGAGGATTTACTCATTATCCGTAGAGGGGGACTCGCCGCCCGGACAAAAACCAGTTTATGGACGTTTTACTAATAAACTAAAAAAATTATTAAAAATCATGAGATTAATGAAAATAAAATGTTAAAAGCTCAAAATGTTCACAAAAATATACTCTATAGAATGGCTATCTTCAAATTTTCAAAAATTAAAAAATAAAAAAATAATTTTTTTAACTTTTTTACTAAAAAATTTAATTTAATTAAAAAATAAAATATTTGTAGTGCTTACCTCTGTGAGTCTTAATAAAAAAACATAATTAAGATATCTCCATTATTTCAGGAGATATCGCAATGAGTAAATCCTCACGGGACACCCTGTAGATAAACTGTGGTATTGTACACTATATATTTATATATGTAATTCTACTGTACGTGTATTGTGACTGAACTCCTCCTAAACGGTTGAACCGATTTGAATGAATTTTTTTGTATGTGTTTGGGTGACTCCCGGGATTGTTTAGGTTCACAAATCATCCCCCTAGGTCCAACCAGGGGATGTTTATAAATGGTTTCCAATGGGTTTTAAAACTATTATATTAATAATTATTGGTTGCTGTGAAATCAGTGTATTCATTCAATGCTTTTAATTTTTTTGTACGCTGTGTTTTGATATTACCTATATGTATCGCAATTGCGTAAATATTGAGAGTAATATACCCACATAAATTATAAGTTGCGTACATATAACAATGATACGTCTTGGTGGACGAGGAGGAAATATTGGTCGACAGACTCTGCATTCACAATTAGTCCAGCCGTTTAGGAGTTCAGTGACATACTTGGTATAACTTTGATACTTCAGAGTTAAATTATAAAGTTACGTACAAACAGCAAGGGGTCCGTGATCTACCTTGCCTTTGCCTACCTGATAATATACTGCTGCGAATCGGAATTTTTATTCCAGGCAACAGAAAAGTTAAGATAAATTTTGAACACCATATACACCGAATATTAAATAACGAATTGAACAAAGTTTGAGTCATATAGAGTTGGTATATTTAACGGGAAACGAAATGCACGGGATCAGCTAGTATTTTATGATTATTTATTATTAGGATTATATCCAACGATTAATTAGAAACGTCTTATAAACAGTTCAGAAGTTATTTAAGTACCTATATACCAATTAAAAATTTTCTGAACTTTTTGCAAAACGCAATAATTATAAATTTAGAAAATCTAATTTGCATGTGTAGAATACAAACAAGCTATTTCTACCAAATTTTAATATTATTAATTTAATTTAATTACCAATTAATTTTATTTTAAGAAAATGTATAGCTAAAAGACTGTTTCATTAATAGATTTAAAAATGTGCAACAACCAGTTATATTAATTAATTTAAATATAAATATAAGTATATATCAATATAATATTATGTTAAAAGAAAAGAATTAATCAATGGTACGTTTTTTTCTCATAAATACTAAATTTGTTATTAATATTATGAAATTTTATCTACATTTTCAGAAGATATTACAAACAGATACCGTAAATCAATTTACAAGAAACTTGCCGATCTTGAAAAACAACTAAAGGAAAATCAAACAGCATTCATGGACGACTTCGTTTTTGATGAAGCAAGTTAACCATTATCACAATATTTACACTATTTAAATCTTTATATTAATAATCTATGTCCATTTTTAGAATGATCCTAAATTAATGTTAAAATTGAAAGTCCGAATTTACTCATTAGTAGAGGAAAACAAATCTTTGAGAGACCAGCTTCAAGATTTTCAAAATATGTATGATCGGGTAACTACCTTATATATTATTGATTTATTCATATTACGAGGAGTGCCGTCAGCGCCCTGCGCGGATCTTATACGCGTTATTAGTGTTTTATTATATAAGATGTATGACTACAAACTCGAACTTAAATTTACTATTGTTGACAATTTGATATGAATTAAATACGCAAAATATTTTAATATAAGTACAAGACTAATAATTGTGTTTAAATAGCTTATGGCTGAAATCCGAGCAATGAACTCGAAGAATGCTAAAACCCAAACTGCTAATAATCAACAACAAGGAAATAGTGCAATGTACGCCTCTCCTACTACCACTAGCTCACTTGACCAAGATGATTTGCAACCACTTCAGGTAAACGTTATTGACAGTGATGTAGAAGGTTTGAAGGATAAGTAAAGGAAAAAGTGTTCAAAATATGATAAGAATAGTTTTATATTAAGTTATGTATTTCTTTTCTTTTTAGTCATTAGAATGCTTATAAAAACAAAATATTTTTATTATATTAAGTTACAAAAAATTATTCATCTACATTGATCATTTTTGCTATTTTTTACATTCATAAGTTATAAGATATATACTTACTTAGTTTAAGTAGTCGAGTGGACTATTAGTACCTAATAAATATTCTTTTTTTTTTTTTAAATTTTTTATCAGCTTTGTTCAAACATATTAAATGTATTTTTAATAACTATTTCTATCAACTAAACATTAAAATATGTATTTATATTTGAAAAAAATAATAAAATATAATACAATTAAGTCTTAAGAAATCATCATTATTATTTATCATATAATAAGAGAGGTTCCTGAAATTCTTAAAAACAGTACTCGTGAAAAAATTATTGTAAGTTATAATTATAATAATAAAATTATTATAAGATAGACAAGTATAATAGATGCATAAAACTAAATTTAATCAATTGATAAAAAAACTGAAAAAATTGTAAAGGGTTAACGAGAACCACCTTCTAGTGGCATATAATTTTAAATTTAAAAGAACTAGATTTAACATGAATCAAACCTTTTTTTTTCATTTTGGCAGAAACGGAAACTCCCTTTGTAATAACTACTTTTAAAATAAATAAAAAAATATTCATTATCATAAACAATTGGTTTATCTACTGTACAGCATAGTTTCCGTAAGGGATGTTCAACTATAAAAACTCTGCCTATTTTCAATAATTACTAAATTATTCAGCTGGATTCCAAATGGATACAATTTTTACCGATTTCTATAAAGCACTGTATAGTGTTGACCATTTGTTACTAATAAATAAATTATTAAAAACGTTTGGGTTTTGCAACCCATTATTATTTTGGCTTATTTATTTTTTAACCAAATCCTTTGTTCTCTCAGATGTCCGTAGGTCAACCATCTTTCACTAACATCGTTTTTATTATTTATAAATTATATTCAATAAGTTATAAAACACTCTCTAATATTCTATTGTAAGATGATATTGCCAAATCATTTAATAAAAAAAAAGATTTATCCATGATTGGATTCCTTTATCAGAAGATTCAAATAGTTTTTATAATTGGTGTTATTCAAATGGATTGTGTTAACAAATGCAAAATATTAAGACCACATATAACCACATGCGTAATCTCTATCTTGCAAACGCATAGCATTGCATAATAGTACATTTTGATTAATTCATTAAACACTGTTATGTTTAATTTTAGAGTAAATTGACCTATTACTAAATTTGGAAGTAAGAATATTAGATATATTAGATCATATCTAGTTTCAATGCTTCTAGATCTTTTTTACGACGACACCCCAATTTAGATCCATAAAAATGGCGACACATTTAAAATAACTAATGGATTTTTTAAAAAACAAAAATTATAAATTTGTACGTAAATTGAGAATGAGACTATCTTCCCCATATTTTTTTTTATCTGTGGTTTTTGCCATATCGTCAAAACGCCATAATAATGTCATAATATTTATACTTTGAGTGTTAAAATACGTGTGTACGATATAAATTAACACTTTATTTGGCGACACACAGCTTGAGAACTACTAATCTAGTCAATAGCATTGGTTTTTTTTATATTTTAATTCTAAAGCAAGTTATGAGCATATTCATTTAAAATGCTCATAACTAGCTTTAAATTAAAATATTTAAAAAAAACCAATGTCATTGACTAGATAATATTCTACTACAATTGTAATAATGTTATATGTTTACAAGACAGAGATAACGCGTTCTCTTAACATTTTACAATGTTCTATTATATTTAAAAATCTAGTATTGATGTGATTATAAGCTTTATATGTAATAATATTTTTATAAAGCCAGCAAAATCATTTATTTACTTAGGTATTACTTTTGATTGTGAACTATGTAATATGTTTGAGTCATATACTCATATTGAATAAAATACAAACAAAGCTTTTTTAAATCTAGGTTTCATTATGCGTAGTAGTTCAAAATTTAATAATTACAATGCTCTAAAAAATTTTATACTTTGCATTTGTCAAATCTCATTTAGAATATTAAGCATCTCTTATTAATTATGGTTATATAATTATGTGATGATGTTTATTTTGTTATATTTTGTGGAAAATGAATTTTAATATAATTTGTACTAGCTATAGTTTTTATTGTGAATTTTTATACTACACATTTTATTCATATGGAGATTATTTTGTAAATAGAATTTTTCCGTCAATTAAGATTTACTATAAAATATATAAATAATACAATTCTTTCTTTTTATACATATTATGCTTAATATAATGTGTACTTATATATTATTAAAAAAAAGAACATAATTTACAAATTGAAAAAAAAAGAGACTTTCTAATCTCCCCCATAAATATGCCACTGCAGTTAGCTAAATTTTAATAAAACTAAACAATAAATGTAGAATCATTAGTGTTGCACTGACTTATTCTGCCAGATGTTTATGGCCTTATGGGTAACAATTTTTTAGTATAATTTGTTGTAAAAAATTGTTTTTAACTTGGTGTAAATATTTGTTTTCTCCCTCAGACACATATTTACACAATATACATAACAACCATTCAAATAAAAATTGAGTTTTATAATTTTTTAGTAATCTTGAGCAATATTAGCTTTTATAAAAATTATAGAAGATAATATTTTTGAGAGTGACATATCAGTTTTATATTTTGTTATTATTTGACTTTATATTGAAGTTTAAAAGTAAAATACATTGTTGTAAATTTGAATGGATATTAAATTGTTTTAGGGCAATATTTGGACAAATTGATATGACATATACCCTCAAAAATATAATTCTCTATAATTTTTATTATGAAGGGTTTTACTATGAGATTAATCGAAAACATAAAAAAAAAATTATTATCACTTGAATGTGTTTTTTTTTTATGTTGCTTGTCGGCTAGAGTAAAAAAAACAGTGTGCGGACATCCTTTTAATGTAAAACAATGATGGATGATGGTACAATTGATAAAATATTAATAAAATGTTTAAAATCAATTATCATTTATTGAGTATAGTATAGTATAAATGTACGTAAAAAAATATAACTGGGTAATACTAATAAAATGTAGTGATCTTAAAAATTAATAATACATTAAAAAGTGGTTCACATGTAAATTTAACATAATAATATGGAATAATTAATTATTATATGTATTTTAAAAATATAATAATATTTAAATATTTAATACTGAATAGTTTTAACATAATTATTGTTTTTTCAATGAGTAATACAATAATAGTTTAATCATAAACCTCAATAAAAGTGAATATTAAATCGTAAAATTAACATGTTAATGTGAATCAGAATATTGAACTAATTAATATTATATTCTATGCTATTATGTATCAACACAATACAATTATTTTTTATTATCAAGTATTTTTCATTAATTTATCTATAACATATTTAGATGCAATAAAATGTATTGTTTCAGATTGGTTAATAACTACCACTGTAAAAAATCTTTGCTGCATTTAAATTATTTATACTATTTCCATGCATTGAACAATTTTAATTCTAAAACTGTTAAGAAAAACATAATTTAATAGAAACAGATCATAATAATTGTCTAACTTGTAGACATATTGAACACAAATTGTACATTATTATGTTAGCACACATTAGAATATTTATAATTTGACAACACATATGTAATCGTAAAAAAAAATCACTTATCATTACATATTATGAAAATTGGATGAAAATTATTATTAGTTCGAAAAATGTCCTGTTAAAAAATCAGTCTTCAATATGCATTGGTTTTTGAGTTATGACGAAATACAAAATAATGAATGATATTTAATATTGGTATAAATTAGACGAATAATAAAATATAACATGATTAAAAAACGAAATTATGGTTTAAACACGTCATAATAAAAGTTATAAAATAAAACTATTGTAATAATATAATTAAAACCAATCGATATGTGCATAGTTTGAAATGTAAAAACAAATAATTTATACTTTGTTGATGCAACAATGTTGTAAAAAAAAGTTGTAATTTTATAATTGTTATTCATCAAAACTTTGTAAATATTCAATAATTCTAAACAAACAATTTTTGTTACACCATTGTTGTAGAGAATAAACAATATGTCTAATTTTCAATTAACGCAAAAAAAAAACTTATAACATTGTAAATTTTGTACCTAAAAATTATAAAAGATGTAGAAGCTATGTTAATCCATCATCAATTCAAAATGCACAGATCCTCTGTTGATGCCATTTTTTTTATGAACAATATTTTTTGCCCAGGCTTTACACAAAATGTTGATTACAATACTTTCTAAATTCAAATAAATAAAAAAATATTAAAATTAGTAATATTGCCTTGTAATATAAACAAATACAAAATAAATACACTCACTTGCTGGACTTTTGAAATGAATTGCAACCAATGGGCTTAGGTATCCTTCAGAGTTTTCAAATGGGAAGAAGTAGCCAGGAAATCCAGGAATGGGCCAATATGCCATTGGCCCAATGAGTTCTTTGTCAGACACAGTTTCTCCTTCACATGATACCCACACAGTTCTTAACTGAAAACAAATCAGAAGGGATATTTATGTAACAATTTTCATTTTTATTTATTTTATTATAAAAAAAACCCATACTAAATATGCTTTGTAATAAGGCGAGATTTTTGTTATCCACGGATATTTTAAGTATACATTAAAAATACTAACCTCCTCTGGATTGGTTATTTTTTTGATGTGGTCTTTCAAACCTTTTGGCATATCATGTGGTAGGTCATTTGGATTATCATAAAATATAGGATTCCAACCATAAATCTAAAAAATAAGATTAAAAATTTTTTTTGATTATTTAACTTAAATTATTAAATTCTATTAGTGTAAAACAGAATAACTTTTTCATTTGAAGAAAAATTATAACCAATCGTTGTATAACTTCTAGTAATAAGAAAATTATCTATATATTTATTTATATTAGCCAAATACCATTTACTCACTCATTCATCGATACAACCAAGCCTGGATTAAGGGTGGGCCAAGGGTGGCACGGTCCCGGGGCCCATTGATTTTGGGGGCCCATCTTTATCCCCAAAATATATTTTTTTAACGCGTTAAATAGTTTAAAAAAAAATTAGTATATTAAAGTAGGTAGGTATAGATAGTAGGTAAATTATTATTACTTAATAAATAATAATTATAAAATAAAATTGTTCTCAATTTTATATCAGTAATTAAAAATTACTATAAATAATGAACTGCAAACACAATTTTGATTATGTTTTTTTTTTCTGAGCATTTTTGATTACTGATTTAACTATTTAAGTATATAGGTAGTTATAAGAAAAAAATATTTAGCTCTTGTAAATTAGGTATTTCAGTTAAAAGTATTAATGCATATTATACTAAACTTTCGAGGACTATAGTTAATAAGTAATAACTTAGCAAACTAAAATTGATCATTTGACTGTCAAAATGTTCAGACAAAAACCTTTACCAGAATCCATGAAAAAATATAGTGGTTAGGACGTATCATTTGAAAAAAATAAAGTCGATTTTATTATTGGCACAATTGCGTGATTAAAAATTTTGAAAATGTTATAAAAAAAAATGCCTGTTAAAAATAAAACACGTCTTTTTTGTTTTAACAAAATTCCATATCATTGATCCATAATTGTTAAAAAAAACCCAGCGTACTATGACATAAGATACACTCTGTATATTTTTTGTATGGTAAAAAATTATACAATAATATAAAGTCGTTAATATGTAATATTACAATTATTTTGAAGTTAAAGTTGAAAGGGGGCCCACTAAGTGTATGGTGTCCCGGGGCCCAATTGATCCTTAATCCGGGCTTGGCTACAACTCGAAAACTACAAAATGTACGAACTTGAAATTTAAAACTTGTTGTTCCTCTAATGATCTAGATATGCTATAGGAAATGATTTTATGATCTACACATTTTAAAGAGGTGGTCAAACAAGTATCTTTGATATATATGTATATCTTTGAGATTCGCGGTGTAAATTGAACATTTTTTTTTGTATATCAGGTACAAATATGCATTAAATTGTCGCGCTTATGGCTTCGAATAAAGAAACTATGTCTTAAAACCAAATGTTTGTGTATAGTTTACACAAAATCTATTCAATTGAATTTGACAAAAATCCCAGAGATTGTTTTAAGAAATGTCAGAAAAGTTTAGAGCACTGTTTCTCAACCTGGGGATCGCCATATTATTTAGGGCCGCGTGTGAATTAAAATTTAACATTTAATAAATTTTTTTTAATTAAAAATAATTATAATATTATATGTATTTTATGTTGGGTACAAAGTACAGTACTTTTACTATTGATTATTAATAAAAAGCTATATTCTATGTGTAAAAAAAAATATATGTAGGGGGGTCTGTAAAAAATAAAGACTAACTTTAGAGAAGTAGTTAAAACCGCATTCAAAAATATACCAAGTTCTAAATCAGCGACTTGTGGTTGCCCATCTACGTCAAATTAATTCACAAAGCTAGGTACACAGACGCCAATTTGTCTGTGAACTGAGGTACACTCAAACCAAGATACACCTATATAGCATATATACTATATAGGATTTGCCACAAAAAAAAAAAAACTGCACACGGGGAAGCTGAGAAATTTAGCTAATATAATTATAAAAGTCATATTCCCAAATAATCTTGGTAACCATATCATGATAAATATAATTTATCAACTCTGTTAGATCCTATTATTAAGCTAACAATCATTGATTCAAATTAAAAAATAATATCAAGGTTTTTTCACTAAGAGAATTGGATACCGTGATTTTCTGTCTTTGTCTAACACATGCGCCACATACGATTTTCTAATAATTTTACTTCAATTAGTCCAATTGTTGTATTTAAGTGATAACAATTCTGAAAATTAATTTGAATTCAGCGTGAAATCTACTTGAGATCAGTCGGGCCACTTTTTCAGTTTTATTTAATAATATTTTTTTAACATTACTACAAGATTAAATATTTTTCAAAAACCTTCAATCAAATTTGTGGAATTTTGAGACCAAAATTCTAAAATGTAATCCGACCGATCTCAAGTAGTCTTCACACTGAATTCAAATACATTTTCAGAATTTATATTGGATCAATACAACGATTGGACTGATTGAAGTAAAATTAGTAGAAAATTGTATGTCGCTCGTGTGTTAGACAAAGGCAGAAAATCACGGTATCCAATCCCTTAATAGCTAAATAAAAATAAATAAAATGCACAAAAAAGTAGAAACAAAATTCACAATTATGAATAAGTTTTTTTTAGTTATTAAAATCATAACTCAACTATTATTTTATTTAAATATTTTAATTTGAATACCTCCCAAACAGCAATTTGAAGTCGAAAAATATTATTATAATATTATCAACATAAAATTCTGACTGGGAAAATTGATAATGATTAATGAGAAAATATTGAGTATTTGAGATATTTAACCAAAGATAATTAAAATATGAGATAAAAGATTTTTACTATAAACCAGCTTTAGATTAATAATAAGTTCTAAACATTATTTGAACAAAATAATTTCTCTTATAACTTTTGGATATCTTACTTTATTTAGTTTAAGAAAAATACAAGGTCCTTGACGATGAAAATTGAACCGATTTTCTTCTGTGCAAGAATTGAATGCTTTCACATCAATATCACAGACCTTTCCTTTTCCAGGAGGTTTATCGTAATTGCAAGTTGCAATATTTTGACCTCTTCCGGGTGTTAAACCCGGTTTTTTGTATACTAAACGATTTGAAAATAAAATAAAATCAATAAATTAACATGACATTTAGTTAAAATAATTTTACCATCTAAAAATTTGACTAGTCTTTCTGTCCACACTGAATAATCTTGAACTGATTTACTATTTATATGAATTAAAGTGCTATGAGTTTCATTGGACATAGGTCTAAATCCCAAACCTATAGAAATCATACACAACATAATATTAATATTTAAGTACTTGGAAAGAATTTAGGTTTTATGAAAGTACCTGGGTTTGTTCCAATTAGTGAATGTTCAAGTTGTCTAGTCGGAGTACGTGGATCAAGAGTTTGGAAGAAAAACCATAAAACTACTCCAAACATAGCGACAAGTGTTAAATAAAATGCTGTATAAAATAATCCAATTTTGGCTGAAATGTAAAAAGACAACAATTAAAATTACATTTTAGTAAACTCTATTCTTATTAGAAGGAACCTTGGCTGCCAACTTGTGTACAATGGTGTGGCTTTAATATTTGGCAGGTATTCAGATAGTTTACTTGGTTGAGGCAACAAACAGGTGTTGCCTGAATCTGGTTGCGGCCAAGGTTCTTTCTTAACATGAATTAAGAATTTAATAATATTTTTTGATATTTTATGAAATTAATATTTAATTATCAGTAAGTTTAGATTGTGTATTTTTAAAGTTCTCTTATTTCATGTATTCTTAGATAGAAATTTGTTTCATGATGTCTAGGTTCAAATATCAAAATTATATTCAGTATAAAAGTTCATATTTTGACTTTTTTCTGGTTTTTAATACAAAATCAAAAAAAAAGAAGGTGGACTTTGATATTCAGTAGTTGTAAAGCATGTTGTAGTAATTGATGTACTAATGTAATATATTTGAATTCAATGATAAATCAATGTATACGAAAAAACGATTCTAACTGGAGACATTAATATTGCTTTATGTCTTTTGTTACTGACTGTAAAATACTTTATAATTTTACTATACAAAAATATAATTACTCATTAGTACAACCTATTTACCAAGAAAATGGTTATTAATAGGGGTTGCATAATATTATTCTATACCTACGCTCTCGATATATTTTTTATTAACAGACCAATCTTGAAATCTGAGATCTACAATGGTGTTTGAAAATCAAAAATTTTAAATGCATATTTTGTATAGTACCTACTTTGTCAGTTTTAGCGATATTTCTTAATTTTCATACACATACATATTATGCATATTAAATATATTTTTTTAAATAATTGGACTTTTTCTTTCATAAGCTATGTATTTTAATATTAATATTGAATATAAAACGCAATATTATTTAATGTAGGTATTTTTTGTTATTGACACAGGCTGTAGTTGTCTATTAAATTAATGAAAACAGTGCGATACGCATTTAACCTCAATCACTCTACTAGTCCTATTTACTACCTTTTAGAATATATTTTTTTATCAGTTTAAATGTCAAAATAGCAAACAGTTTTCTGCCATATTTTAAATATTATATATTTATTTTTCCATATTTTATATTTCTTTTATTGCACGTTAATAACAACATAAAATGGTTTGTAAATTTGAAATTTTTCATTCATATTTTACAATTTTTTAGTGCATATTTTTCCTTTTTTAGCTCCTATAACTTCCAAATCCTAGTTATAAATTATCATTATCATTGTAACGAGAGATGCCGGTATGGGTCATCCAAATACATGAAGCTCACTGTAGATTGTTCAGTGTTGGTTGTGTGGTGGTACAACTTTCACTAAAAAAAAGACTAACATGACTGAATAGCAATTTAATTTTTGAACAAATCTTGTTTTTAAAATTCAATAAACAAATGTTTGATTCATATTATTTATTTCAGAACTAAATAGAATTTTTTTTTTTGTTGTACCTATTTGTAGATAATTTAAAACACTTTACTATAATATTATATACGCGTACTCCTATGGGTCCATGGACCACAGTTTGGGAAACGCTGATACAGGAGATTGCAAATCGGACCACTGTATCATTGAATATTATAATTTAATTTTCGTACTACATTTTTTTGAATACTAAATGAAATATTGACAAAGCACTGGTTATAAAACTATGTTTGCTTATTTATTTTAAACATGGAAGGTTTTGATTCACATAAATTTGTGTATTTTATCTATTCCAATTAAAATGAATGATCCATTCATTCCTGTATTGACAATACCTTAGGTTAAATATTAATGATATTAAAACAAAATTATTAATATCAATAATATTAATGCCACTTTTAAGTTTCATATTACCTACCTACCAGCTACCATTTTTCCATTCAACTTAATAAAATGCCTATCGAACCTTCATCACTCTATACCAGGCTTTCAATTATTCATGCAAGCTTAACACATCGTAGGACGATGATAAATTTGAACCGATTGAACATTATACGCACCATTTTAAGCCATCGAACATATCAATGCCGTCCCATCAAGCAACACACAATCTAACGTATTTTCGCAATCAAAAGATGTAAAAGGGAAAAAGAGACTGCTCTTACCCCAACTGGACGGCGTGCGGCCAAATATTTCTCCGGTGTCTTTGTCGTAGGCGTACATCACGAACTTCTTGGACAGCGTCAATTTGCGTTTGTCTGTGTCTAAACCGATAAACGTCGTCTTGCTGCCGTAGTTCATTTTCGTTCCGTCGTTGAACAGACCAAAATACCTAACTAACTGAAAAAAGACTAATAACTACTCGCGGAAATAAATTTCAATCAACGAACGTCGAACAGCCACTGCCTCGGCGATAACGGCAGGATACAAGTGAACACTAAATAACAAAAATAATGATAATAATTTGAATTTGTATTATTCGCTTGCAAACGAATACTCGTTCAGACTTCAGCGGAAACACACCTGCTGACCCGCCCAAAATCGTATTGTCCGCAAATACCGCACCAATTACCGATAAATGATAATAATAACAACAACAACAACAACAACAACTAATTATTATGATATTCGGAGGTGTGGCAATTCGGCCGGCAGTCGCGGTTGGTGCCAAACGTCACTACGTCACCACCGGCCAGTAGCCCGCGCAAAATGTTCACGTGATCGCAAGCATTTCTTTAGAAAAAAATCCACGGTAAAATAAAGTCCGGTAAAAAAATTTTTTAGTTTAAAGAGGGCAAAAGTGGGTGACCACTTCAGCTTTGATGTACGATAGATGTCGAGTGTCCTCGTCATTGATCAAGTGACTATTACGTATGCGTGAAATTTGAATTCAATATTTCAATAGTAAATCATTGCATACCTACAAAAAATGATTGTGATCGTACCTTGATGGTCTGTCACTCTATCGAGTGTCGACTGTCAGCCTATATTACTATTTATATTTTTATACATTTGTATTCCTATTGAAGCAATATATCTTACTGTTCGTAACACTGTAGCAAGAACGGTTAAGTCTTCAACTATTGTGGATTTGTGGCAGGGGGGGGAATCTGCAAGTAGTTTTCAAGTAAACTTCATGACTGATTAAAATATGTTTCCGGTAGTTTTATCCACACATATACATATTATACTACAATAATATTATAGTATATATCTGTGGTTTTATCCGATTAGGTACTCGGTACAATATTGAATTGGCAGATGGTAGATGTATATTTTGGTAGAAAAAGAAGCCATATAGTTAGCATATAGTTAGCCATATAGTTCGGCCGAAATCGGATATAGTCTGACCGTTACCTTAATATCAGCAATCGTCCGCGTCATCACGGTTTCGATGAAATTACGTATTAATATGCTATGAAGGTATGGATTTACCGACTTTATTTAAACCCTGAAATCCGCTATATTGGTTATAATTCTAAAATGTTAAAGGTAATAGGTATATAACACATAGTTTTTTTTGTACTTAATTATGCAGTAAAATTGTCTAGGTATGTTAAATATTGTAAATTGTCTTGTTGAAATAAATAATTGAGAGCAATACTAGTACGGTGGTACCTATATAAGTGTAAGAGCATATAATGCACTACCCCCCCCCTCCTCCTACAGTAATTTCACCGAATTTCCGCTTATGGAAATAAGTAATAGTGTCTATTTGTAGAATGAAATTTCAAATTTGTAAATAGAAAAGTACCTAATGGAATAAATCTATAAATTTTAAATTGTAATAATTGTATTATGTTTTAATAAAGTATAACTTGTGGTATAATATATAGAGGCATAGAGCAAAATAACTTTATTAGGTAGTGGAAATTTCCTATGTACCTAGGTAACCTCTTCACTTTTGATGTTGAACTATTTTGTGTTATTATTTGATTGAAAAAAAAGTAGTCTGTTAACAGTCACTACTCACAAATCTGTTAATTGTTATTTGTTAGTGTTACAAACTAATTAGGTATCTTTTATCCTGGACCCTATTGTTAATTTTTAGGAATAGAAATGTTTTAATCATATAAAAGTGTTGAAAATTAGAGTTTTACACTTACAAAGTTAAGCACAATGCCACAGTGGTAAATGTTATTTGAAAATAACTTACTCATAATATAAATTTGAAATTACAGTTAAGATTTTAAATTTATTAATATTTTTTGAATTGTTCTTTTTTGTTCGTCTTTATTTCGTTGGTCGTTTTACTGATTATCAAAAAGGCAAAAAATATATAATATAGCGATTAGCGGTGGCACTGCAGTATATTGTGTACCTATAAATATACAGTATAATATTATCTCGATAATAAAATTATATAAAAATAAGCAAATGCTTTAAGTCTCGAGCTTTGTTTATACAATGTGCCCCGGGGTGAAGTAACCGGCCGACGTCATATAAAAGTATACCCAAAATGATGAAGAAATAACCTTTAAAGAGTGGGTCTAACTTTTTTATTTTTTAAGTTATGGGCAGTTAACTTTTTTTTTATTAAAACCAAACCTATCATACATTTTTTTATGTATCTTCAAAACTAATCAACATTTTGACTTATTTTTTTTTTCTTAAATCTATTTAAGTGTTCTATCAACCAACGTACACAATTAAACCGGAAATGTGCAAATTATTTTTATTAAATTGAAAAAGTTATTATTTTTATCAAAAATTAATATTTTTAAAAGTAAATCACGTATAACTCCAAAAAATGTAGTATTTACTATAGGTTTTTTCCTTATTGTATTATTCTGTAAATTGACAACACTACAACAAAAATGTACAGAAGAAAATAATATTAAACGATTAACTACCAATTAACGACAGATATTCGATTTAAGAAAATCAAGATTGTAACGACAGCGTATAATTCTGCAATCATGGAAGATACTAAACCCAAACTTTTAACTTATTCTAGGTATTATTCAGTACAATAGTAGATATAGCCCTAAAACAGTAAATATTATATCTACAACTATACGTGCTGTAATATTTGCATGAAAACAAATTAAAAGAATGTGTCCAATACTCAAATGTCCATTGTCAATAGAGTAATTTATTTAACTATTAAAAACATTGTATAATATTGATAATATTGCAAGTTTTTTAAAACTTTTAATAATACATTTATTATTTAAACAAGTTAGAAAAGCTCATTTTTGAGCTTGTTCAAATTTCCGATGTCCAAACGTATTTCAATACAAATCAACTAACTATAATTCTAAATTTCTGAAAACCTACAATTTAAAAAGATATTGGTGATCTTAATATTTTGGTAGTATATTTTGGTTAGTAAAGTAAGTAGTGACTACGGTCTACGAACAATAATGAATAAATTAATATCTTATCTAATATCAACAATCGTAACTATGTACTTGTAATTAACGTACTGATGGACACAACGGGGATAAACGTGTTCTAATAATTTGTGTTATCTATACATAAACGAATAAACGATAAACATAATAGTTTAAGTTTAAGTTAACTTAAATAAAAGCGGTAAGTGGATGTCGCTCTGCTGTACAGTAAGTTACAATTGGGTCAATGTATAATGGAATGTATCAAACTTGAATTCAATGATAATATAATACACCTAACATTGTATAAGAAAGACGATTCTGAGCGGAGACGGTTTGTCAGTCTGAATATTTTATACAGCATGTAAGTTGAATTAATATTATAATTTTTTATTCATTTCTATGCTGATTGGTGATAAACAAAGCGTTAGATATTAAAATCCTGTTTTAGCTGTTTTTCGTGATTAGTCGGTGGTTCTTCCCTTGGCATTAAATAACTATTGAGAAAATCTTGCATTCAATTTTCAAATTTTAGATATAAAAATTAAATTATTATGAATCTTAACATTTGATTATTTGAAACCGGTGATTATTAATTTTAGCTTTTGGTTTTAAGAGGCCCCCTTAGATTTGGAGATACTACGTTATACTTTTAATATACGTAGGCACGATTATTTTTATATGATTTGAGATTCAAATTTTGACAAAATTCATCAAAATTTTCAAACTATTTTTCAGTTAGAAATTCCTAAATATTTTTTATATATATTTTTTATACCTACAATGATTTATCATTGAACTCAATAATATAACGCATCCATTACAACAACATGCTCGACCACTATTGTATGACAGAGGTAGGTACTCACTTGTTCACCTTTTTTAATTTTCCATTTTATTTTATTTCATATGGTTTTTATTGTAGTATAATATTTCGTTTTGTTTTCTGTTATATTTAACGTTTTCAAAAACTTCTTTAATAACTACAAATTAGTATAATATTATAACACTGATAACTTTTAGTACAATAGTAACTTACCTATTATTTATTAATTATTATTGTCGAGATCTATAAATATTACCTATTATAATGTTTAGTTAATACATTTTAATGAGGTTTAACCAAACTAGTTTCAGCTGTTTAAAATAGATATTTACTTATATCACGGATACGAGATATTATATCTGATTATAATATTTTATAGTTACACAACAAACCTTTTATCAACACTTTTTCAATAATTTAGGTAATAACTATTTTTAAAAGCGCTCATATTTTAAATTAATAAAAAAAAATTCTCTGAAGAAAAACAATATGAATGAATACCAACGAGTGGAAATGATGGAAGATAAACGATGGACAAATATTTTGAAATGTGACATTATGGAAAATATTACAAAATTAGGAGATGCAGAGCAACATGATCGTTTTGCAGAAATGGATGTCAATTTGGTAGATGAAAATATTAATCTTCAAGACCTGAAAAAAAATATTGGAAAATATTATGAACAATTTAAAGTGGTAAATGGAGACTTTAAAGATTTAATTTTATCAGGTGCTGGAAGTAAGAGTTTTTTGGAAAGATACAGACATTTACATCCAGATAAAATAAAATTGAGCATGAATAATTCTATACACATTATAACTAATGCATCAAATGCACGAGTTAGACGGTTTAAAATAGCATTAAAAAAATTGGAGGATTTACAAAGATATTCGAATCCAAAGAAAGGTAAACAGCAACATATCAAAAGAAGCAAAATGGAAGCAACAATGGGAAAAATTGTAAACAAAGTTAAGAGAATTGTACTGGTCGACTTGACCAAAAGAACGACCAAAAATATGGTGGATGACGTTAAGCAAAATTTAATCAAGTATGATACAGTAATAGAACAATTACAAAACGACGCTAAATCAATGGCCGTGATTATTATGAAAGAAATTGAAACTGGTACAAACTTTAACCAAGACTCAGTGAACTATGTTAAAAGTTATTTTGCCGAGAAGGATGCAGAAGAAAAATCTATCAATACAAACACGTCTTACATAGACAAAATAAATGCAATAATGGATTCAATGGAACGCAGTAGGTAAATTATATAACATTTTTATTTAAAGTTTATAAAATAATGTACAAAAGATTTTAAAACAAACTGCAATCGATATTTATACGAATGTAAATATGTATACAGTATTCATATGCCTACAATTGAATACAATTTAGTTATTTATTGCTATCAAATAAATAAAGTCACTAAATTTGTTATTTAATTTAGAAAGTCATTTATGCAAGAAAAACCGGCTACAAAAACTGAAGAAAAATTTTATTCAGAACTTCCGTGGATAATTGATACAACTGACGAAGATGATACTTCTATTGCTGAAAATGATAAAAATAAAGAAACAAAAAATAATAACAATAATTGGTGTAGTAATATTTCACAATTTGGAATAACGTACTACGTCCATCCAGATGACAAAACTAAATTTTTGAACAATTTAAAAAATGATATAAACGTTTCATCTATAGACTATAAGTTTCCTGAAAATATCTTTAATTATGTAACTCTTAGTGATATTCAACCAACAAACGATGAGTTAGCCGCTGATTACATACTAAATCAATCAGAGTATAATAATATAGAAGATTTGGTAAAATATATTGAGTGTACAAAAACTGATTTAATAAACTTAAGCAAGTTTTCAACTTTAAGAACAAGTATACGGAGTTTATTATTGAAGGAAAGGTTGTTAAATAAAGAGATTATTGATAAATTAAAACTTTTGACGATCAAAGATATTGAATTCGCTAAACAAGTGGAGAGTTTCAAAACATTCATTGATGGCCAAAACGAAAAAATGTCTAATCTTGATAAAATTAAAACTCATTATTTGAAATTGTTTAATGATTTGTATTTTTACGTGGATAATATTAAAATTATACTTAAAAAACTCGATGTAAGTGTTCCATTGTATTTAAATATTTAAAATATCATATTTAATGCTATCGATATTTTAGGTTTCAATTGACGATTCTAATGAATTCGAATTTATAAAAACTCTTACTCCACAAGAAAATACAATAGATACTGGCACTGAGGAATTAATGAAATCAATAGAAGACATAAAATCTATGATTGTTATAATTAATGGAAAATTTAAATGGTGTAATTTGATAATTCCGGATGAATTCGATTCCAAACAATTGAATTTTGCTCGTGCAATGTATGTGTATAAAGTTCAAGAATTCGTACAGGCAGAATTAATAAAGAAAAAAATTAAATTGTCCCTTTTAATAAAAAAAAATAAAGCCGATGATATGCCAAAAAAATCAGAATACATCTTAACTAGAGATGATATGAAAAGACAAGCAGAACTAATTGTAAAAATGTTTAATGAAAAGGATACGGATAGTTCAAAAAATAAAAGAAAACCAATTTCTTTCAGAAAAAGTTTTATATAAGTAGTTTGACGAAATTAATCAAAATTTATTATGTTTGGATTAGCAAATAAATAACAATTTTAATCGAAATTCTAGAAAAATTAATTTACTAATTAAGTGTTATTCCCCCGTTTAAAGTCTAAAACAAAATTGTTCAGGTTTCTTTCTTTTTATCTTCTCTGTGACTGCTCCACTGAAGTGTTTTCATTGAGTTTCATCTACTATCGGTATGTTAGGTGTTATCGTTGGTATAAATGTCCATAAAGTCATAACGGTACATACCTATTTGCTAATATAGACTTAGTTTTGGGTAAATTACTTTTGAAAATAATAATAAAATTACTTTAGGTACCTACCTACTCATTAGTCGTTACATTAAATATTTTTATTTAAATAACATTTGAGTTACTCAACATTAATTTTTCCACGCTAGGTACATTACTTTTTCATTTAAAAAGTAGGGTATTACAAATAACGATACTTGGAATTACAAAATCAGTGCATTACGGTTAAGGAATAATAAGAAGTAATATACTTAGCTAATAAGTAAATAAGTAATGGTATAATGTTATACCTACCTATATTAATTGTATAGATATAACATTGATCTTATACAGGGGCGTCATTTGGGGGGGTGCAGGGTGTACATTTGCACCAACATTTTTTATAAACGCCTTCTTTGGCCTGCCAACAATAAATATAAGCGCCGATATACCTAAGTGTTATATATTAATTATATATTATATATATTTTATATTTTTTCAGTATTTAAAAAAAAATAATAAATATTATAGGTACTAATAGGTTTTATTTCCAAAAATGATCGATGTGGTTGTGTGGTTATATCATAGACAGAATATAAAATAATAATAATATAATTAATAATTATGTCTATGGGTTATATATATTTTTTATTCTCTAGAATGATATTATTACCATCGAATATATAAATATCTGTGGGTATAATATTATGCTGATATAGATTTCTTATCACGCTCCAGTATCTCCCTACTCGTTATAATAAGAAAACAACATGATATATAATTCCCATCAAAAGAGAAAAAATTGTCTATCCTAACCTAACCTAACCACAGAATATTATTTGTTTACATTTTTACCCTTGTCACTTACTTTCTACGGTAGAAATGATATTCTATGGTAGAAATTCTACCACCAATATTAAATATCCTGTTTGAAATTTTTGATGTATCCAGCAATAATTTTTTTAATCCTAACTGCCCTCATTTAATATTCTTTACAAACCATTATAGTTATTTTCAATTTAATGAGTCTAAAATGTTATCCGAATTTCCTTCTGCAAAATCCTTGATTCTTAAAAAAAATATAACCGATTTGAATTTAAATGACATTATTTCCTGTTTAAAAGATTTTCCAGTTGCTTTTTCAGAAACATTAAAAATAATATCTTTAGTTTTAACTTTACCTATAAGTACGGCTTCTAATGAAAGATTTTTTTCCTCACTTAAAATAGTCAAGTCTTATATTAGATCAACCATGGGAGATGAGCGCATAAGTGACTTATTAGTGGTTAGTGTGGAGAAAGAAGAGGCCAATAAAATCAATCTAAATTATGCTGTAGATTCATTTACTAAGTTGAAAAATCGAAGATATCCACTAATGTAATATAATATGTAATGTATTAAGTAATATTATTGCCTTATGATAATAAATGTTTTTATTTGTGTAACTAAATGATTTGTTATTAAATTGAATTTAAGTTGTTAAATTAAAATTAGATGTGGAAAAAATTGGAAATATGAATTAAGTATATTGTGCCATTTTGAAAAAGGTAACCCATAAAACAAATTTCAGGTTTAGGGGTTTAGCTATATTATTTATTTTGAGTGTGCAGGGAGAAAAAATGTATAGGTTAAGTTCGATTAAATACTATTAAGGTGCTTTATATCCATAAATTTGCTTACCAAATACAACTGGCATCCACAATATAATATAAACTTATTAAAAGTACCTACACATAGTTCTTCAAAAATATAATAGACCCCCCCCCCACTAAAGAAAAAAAAAGTTTTCTATGTGGCCTGGTAACAATTTGAATGGCCTGCAAACATTTTCGCACCAACAAAAAAAAAGTTGAAATGACGCCCCTGATCTTATATAGGTACCTACTGTAAAATGTTTAAGTATTATTCACCATATTTGGTAATTGGCTATTCCCGATTGGTGAGGTTATGAGTAAACCATAGTTTAAAATAAATCTAATATTATTGACATTTATTACTGATATTAAAAATCTATTTCGTTGCAATAGCGTTAATTTAAATAAAATGTAATAACATTACTTCAACGTTACTGAAAAAGTAATTTCGTTACAATAATTTGTAACTTGCGTTACATTATTACCTAATACTACATACCTATTATAGTCATATACTCGTATAGATTCCATATTATAGATCTCATTGCTTTTAACTTTTAAGTTTTATTTAATAAATATGTATATCAATAAATGTAAAATAAATGTAAACATTGCCTGCTTTATAAATGGTAGTCGATTTCAACATATTGGTCACGACTGTAGTATAAAGACGGCTAGTTGTTGTAAATATCTATGGTTACAATATATGTTTTTAATCAATGCTAAAAGTACTGTTCAGAGACATAATAAAGTAATAAAAATGAACGTGAACGTATCGGTCAAATTTTAAACTGTAAACGGACACTAATTGTGTGGCGGTAAATTAAGGTTTTGGGGAAGTATGGGCTTAGAGAAAATGTCGTATCAAACAAAATGTTGTTCATAACAAATTCTTATCTATTTAGAACTTACACAGATAAGAGACAACGAGTGAGCCAGAAACACATTTTACAATATTTTTTGATACATATTTTCAATATAATTTATCATTTGAGTAGCTAGGTTTTAAGTAGACTATAACAATGTTTCTGAACACTATTCGTACATTGTCGTCTACAATTTTCAAAGCATCAAGTGGTCTATCAATTGGCAACCACATTGTCCCTGTAAGTTTACATCAATACATTATATTAATTATTTTTCAATAAACTATATACGTGTAAATAAATTGAGCTTTGTTTCTATGGACTACTCTACTTAGAAAAACGGAAGAAATGTCTACACAAACATGGTCAAATATAATGAATTGTCAACTAAAGATGAAATGCAACGAGATTCGCCGAAAGATAGGTCAACTGTGATTCCTGCCGAAACTAGTATTGAATATCTAAAAAGTGATGGTATGAAATTATTATTGTTTTTCTAGAATAAATCAATATCTCTATTGGGTTATTTACTAATAATTACAGCTCAGAATTCTATGTTTATGTTTTTCATAATTTGAACCAAGAATAACAGAAAATTGCTTATCATTACTGCCCCAAAGTCTAATGCAGTCTACGATAAACACTATTAGTTTTTTCTATACAAAAAAGTTATCAAACATGTATTTTTATTTATATTAATTTACTTTTGATATACATTTTCAAGATTTATACAGTTGACTAACAATTTTCCTAAATAAGGACATTTATTGCCATTATTGTTTCTAATTCTAATTCTATCATATAATAATTTATATCAATCAATCATTAATCAAAATCAATGCTCTAATATTTCTTATGATATTATTTATTTTCCAATGATTTAAGAATATAATTTCCCTAATTGGTAAGTCTATAAATGTATTAAATGTCGATTTAGTTTTACTAGAAAAACTAAATACTGGCTTAAACTTTAAATATATCATAACAATGTAACGTCTCCTCTTCACCTGGGGGTCGCACCCCTCGGTGTAGTTCTGTTTATATTAACGAGGTCTCGGAAACTCGACCTCGGTGTGTGACATTATTGCTAGGGATCAGGGTTACCTTATGTAAAGCAAGTACTCAAGTATATACATAATTTTGTAACTGTTATTAGAATCAAATCTTACAATATAAGAACATTAAAATATAATTATTAGATAGGTATACTTATAGATTAGCTTCACTAAGGGTCACTGGTGGAGATATGTGGTGTCGACTTGTCGTGGGTGCTGCTATCCGAGGTGGGTGAGCTGGCCGTCTACAGGTCCTCTTTTGGTCGTTGTCCGCTCTCGACTTCCACTGTCGACCATTCACTATCACTCTTCACTCTTGACTACTTTCCGCCAGGAGTTCTGGTCGGTTATTGACGTGATGTCAGCTAAACATCGCGTCAGCATAATATATATTTCATATTTTTCCTTACTCGGCATACTAGGAGTAATGTACGATGTCGATGACGACATGTTCGTTACAACAATAAAACCACCTTATTTAGATATTACCTAGTACATTTTCGCAGATTGCTATTAAAAGATTTTTTCTAATTATTTGTACTTAGTGAATTACGGAGGGCTATATAAATCAGGAACCTATTTAACAAGAATAAAATATTTGGAACTGCTTTTTGTACGGAATGTAATGTCCATAGGATGATAAAATAATTTAGGAATGAATATAATAATTTAGGAATAGTATTTTCTTAAACTGATATTTATTAGAACCGTACAAAGTAGGATAATATAAAAATAATATTAATTTTAATTTTCCTCATTAGTCCTCATTTTTCAATAGGAATATTAATAATTAACAACATAGTTAAAACAAGATTATTATTTAATATCGGTCCAAATTTTTGTATTCCATAGTATTATCCTAATTAATACTGTTCCTATCTGATAGTGTTCTGGAAATTTATTTTACTGATTTATTTCATCCTAGTTTAACGATTCCTATAAATACTAATCCAAGAAAATACTTTTCCTGTACCCTTTCTAAATTGTTTAGAAAGATTGTGAATCATATCATTCCAAACAAATATTTTCCAAAAATACTGATTCCTGTGATAATTATTTTTCTGGTTTATATGCAGTTCCGTAGAAAACTGTTATATTTAATGAAATCATCATAAATCAATCATGTATTTGCGTGAAAAGTTCTAATAACAGTTTAAAATATTCTTCATATTATTGACTTAATCTATAATAATATATAAAAAAGAAAAATTGTCTGTTGGTTCAGGGTAATCTATGGAACTACTTAACCCAATCAAAATTATAATTAATAGATAATTATTTTACTCATTTTAGTTGTTTTGGTTCAATGGTTTGTATACTTGTTAACTTAATTATTTCATTTTTAATATACTTATTTCATATTAGCAAAGAAATTACAATTAAAAATAGATTAGTATATTTTAGAGTATATTTTAATATTATTTACATATTCTATAACTGAACAGTAACATCTAGTACTAAAATAGTGTTAAATTTTAATTGAAAATAATTATAAATATAGTATATTGTTTTTATTTATTTATAGCATACAAATCCACTTATGGAAATAATCCTGTATGGAAAGAATATCGCCGTAATCACAAAGGAAGTATTCCACCAAGAAAAACTAGGAAAATGTGTATTGTGAGTTGTAAATTAAAATTAACACTAATGTTATTTTTAATACATGTGTATTATATATATCATATATTTATTTCTAGAGATCTGATATGATTGCAACTGGTAATCCATGTCCAGTATGTCGTGACGAATACCTCATACTCGACTACAGAAATGTGGATTTGCTCAAACAATTCATATCTCCTTATTCTGGAAAGCTGTTATCCTATAAGTATGTATAATGATTTGTATTTAGATTTAAAAAAAAAAGCCATTTGATATTATTTTTACAATTTTATATTTTTAATAATAAAAGTTTAAAAAATTATTATACATTATTAATATTTGTTTTGCTGATTAATATCCTTCAGGATTAAAATAAAATATTATACTCTGTTCCATGAGAGAACATGCAGCGGTCATCCTCTCTTGTGGAACAGAGTATAGTTTAAGTTATTAAAACAAATCATCATATCTGAATATAGAAACTTATGTTATAAAAGTTTAAAATGTACAGTTGTCAGTGGCGGCGTGAAATCCTGGAGGCTTTGAAGCATATTGTATGTTTTAAACATTTTTACCACCGCACCCTTCATTGAACCAAATTAGCAGTAGGGGCGATTAATAATTATTAATTATAATATTTGCCATGATATTTGTGTTGAGGTCTTACGGCTATATATATATGTGTTTATACACTCACCCACCCATTTCAGACATGAAGCAATTGCTTCAATTAATGATCCTGTATCCCGCCGCCACTGACAGTTGTATATTACATTTGTGGTATACTTCATTAACATTTTATAGATATGAGAAAATAAAGTATTAAACACTATTATATGATATTTAGAAGTATAGAGTAGATTACTTGGTCTGTAACACCTCTATGTTTAAAACTATTTTGTGTTTATGTTATACAAGTACAGATAAAGTATATTTAATCATTATAATTATTTATGATGGGCAATATCTGTTTTCTAAATAATAATGGCTAACATTTTACCAATTTATGTAATATAATATTTTGTTTTACAGATTAACTGGAATTTGCCAAAAACAGCATGAAAATTTGATAGTTGCTGTAAAAAAAGCCAAAGACTGGGGATTTATTAAATTTGATCTTCCAATCAAACATTACAATTATGATGAATTTAAAAATTCAAATTAGTGTAATGTGGTATACATAAATAATGTAACTGAACTTATACAGAAATACATGTTGGATTTTGTAGATGCACATTCTTATAATAGTGTAACTTGTTTATTTAATGTTAATTATAATATTTTGGTACTATGTTTAAGTTCATTGAATCACATTAAATATGAGATAAATTATGTTTACAATATATACAAATAAGTAATAATTATGTTACTTCAATATTTAAATTTGTGTGAGCAGTCAATCTATAATCAAATAAATACATATAAAATAAAAGGTCTATTAAAATTTAAAATTTTGTATGTGATATTATTTTATACGTCTTATAATATTTAATTGTGTTTTAAACTTATTAATGACAAATATTAATATAAAAATTACAATTTAAATGAATGAATGAATATTTGTAATCACTGAAGTTTATTCAAAAGTATTTTGTATGGATTGAATGTTGATATTTAATTTATAAGATCAATATTGTCCATCAGTCATAGTAATATTAATAGTCTCAAAAATAAGTTTTTAAAAAATTAATATTCAATACAACTTATTTAAAAATGTTTATGTTTTTATTATTTTCAAAATAAAATGTGTATTATATATCTTTAATTATGATAATACTTAATGCATCAATGAGACATTTTTGGAAATGCAATACATAAAGTGTTTTGTATAATGCTTGTATGTATCAATGTTGTTGAAGTGTCTACATTTTATAATAATAATAGGCTTACAATATTTTAATCAAAGTAGTTTATAATGTTATGGTTACTTGAAAAAAAAAATGATATTATTCTATATTTAAAAATCTTTTTTCCTAGATTTTATTGTGGGAAATTTACAATAATTTTTACCAGTTACCATTTTCTTAAATTACCTTAATCAAAATTTACATTTTATTCAATTATAAATATAGTTTGATATTTAAATGATTTAAATCATGATGTCAACATTTTTATTTTATTTTTCGATATTGGAACTACAACAAAAGTTATTCAAGGTTGAAAAACACAAAAATAATGGATTTTGAAACAATAAGAACTTTTTACGTAAAAGTGATATATAAAATTAAAAACAATATCTCACAAATAATGTTCTCAAATATATTGTATATCAATTTGGAATCTTAACTATCACTACAGCCTGAGTGGTTCTATACCGCCCAAAACAGTTTTTGGTATGTTGTACATTTATAGGACTGAGACAACACATGCGGGTATAGCATACTCTAAATTACATAAACAATTATTTTTTCATATTCTTATTAACATAACTTTAGAAGAAGTAGAGTAATTTATTAACATTTGAGTTGGTATTTTGTATACAATAATACAATTATGATACATCATTATTATAATATACATAATTTACATTTGTTCTGTGTCATCACAGAGTCTTATGGCCTACTACATGGGCATCGCCGTTTTCAGCCGATTCCCTTTTCAACCAAAATCGTACCCTTCCCTTTTCGGCCAAAACAAAAAGTTCAATAATAATTAATACTAAATACTTTAGATCTATATGTTATACTTAAAGAAAATTATTAAATATTATTTATCATACCTAAGTAATAAGTTGTATGAAAAATTATATAAATAAATCATAATTATTATAACAAATAATATGAAATTGTTGTCAATAATATTATTAAATATAATAGTAATATGTGTATACTGTATAACATATTGAAAATAAAATATAATTTTGAAAATTATTAAAAGTATAAGTTAGAATTAGTCAATAATTATATAATATATTAATATATCATAATTATTATTCTATTTTATTTATATAAGTACTAGACTCTATTTCATTTTGGCTTTTTTTAGTGCTATTTGTATAGACATTTAAAATTGTCGACAAATTTATGTATGCTGGTATTTTTGTTAGTAAATTAAATAGTTTGAAAATTGAATACTATAGGTACAAGATTCATCTATATAAGTATTTTTTACTGAAAATCAAAAAATTGAATTTAGCGAAAGCTACATACATTTTTAATGATTAAAATTAGGCGGTTTATTAGTTAAAATCTATGGCGTAATGGTGTATTGTTCTATAATCTATGGTAATGCTTAAGGCAATACGAGCGCTTCCCCGCAGTAAGGCATTTGGCTGGCTTGTCATAATATAATAACGTTATCATAGAGTTAATCTGCGACAACAGTTAAATTTTTTCTGATCATATCTAAAAATAATAATTATAATAAAATTGGTTTTTTACGCTTAATTCAAGTATTTGAAAAAATTTCCGGAACTTCAAAAGTTATGGCAATTCAAAGTTGTCAATATTAAAAAATATAGGTACTTTTGAATGGACGAGCGAGTGGTCACGCTGGGACTAAATATACTTAGAAACAATATTGAGGAAAACCGAGGTTTACTTGAGGTAGTTGACAAAGCAAATAGGGGGATATTTTCGATTTGCGGAGCGGAGCGACGGCGCCGAGGAGCGTAGCGACGAGTGCCGATACACGCGTAATCGCTGCAACTTTGATATGCCATAACTTGTGAGAACAGTGAGTTTCCGGAAATTTTTGTAACTGGGAAATGGTGTAGCTGGTGGCACGCAAATTTAAAAAGTTTGAGAACCGCTGGTCTAAAGCCCTGTTCACACGATCAAATAATTTGTCAAATATTTGATAAATTATTTGATCGTGTGAACGGGGCTTAATGAAACTAAAAATTATACAATACAAACTATTACAAATAATACATTTCTATGTATCAAAATTAGAAAATTCTGAATTTTACATATATTTATATTTTTTTTAATTCTATGTTAACGTTATTATTTGATAAGCCAGCCAAATGCCTTACTGCGGGGAAGCGCTCGTAAGGCAATTGCGTAACTACGGGATGGCAAGGCATGGCAATGCTCCGGGGCCCTGGACTTGGAGGACCCCGGAGCAGGGGCGGATTGGCGAATTTTTTCGGCCCGGGAAATATGGATCAAACCGGCCCTGCACCGCAAATGTAACCCCGCACCAAAAAAAAAATTTTCATCATTTTACTCACATTTCAAAATTTGTTTAGTTTCACCCATAAATTAGTAAAATATATAATAGGTACCTATAATTAAAGTTATAACAGTTTAGGGTTAGTCAGATAAGGTTAACCTGTTCTAACTCGAACTTGAAGTTTAATCTTTTTACATTTTAGATTCTGAGCGAAGTGATGAATGTATTGATTTTACAATGATGTGTTTTTTTTAATTTTTTAATTTTAATTTAATTTTTTATTTTTGGGTCTGTCATCAAATTTTAGGACAGTAAAAATAGTAAATACTTAGATTTTCTTCAACTAGATTCACTTTTCTGATAGGAAAGTTAATGTAGTTGGTACTTTGGGGGGTCAAAAATAAAAATGTCCTGGTGGCTTTCAAAATTGTCTTGAAAAACAAAAGAAAAATTAAGTAAATCGGGGAATTTTTACGCAAAATCTGTTTTCGAGAAAATCGATTTTGGTTTTTGAAGCAACTCCATAATAAATATGACTATATAGGTACACGAAATTTTGACCGAATGTTTATATTAGTATTTTCTATACACCATAACATTTTGACTTACTTTGAGCTATTTAAGGACATTTTCAGTTTTTTTTTTCTATAAATATCAATAAAATTTTATTTGTTGGTTAAAAAGCTTGAAAATGTAATAAAAATCTTCTAGTATATTGTTTCAAAGGCAGATGAAAAAAATTAAAAATCCAGTCACAATTTTTTTCTATAAGCATTTAAAGTTCAAATATTGACAAAATACTTAAAAATAACGAAAGTTTGCAAAATATTTTGAGTTATAAATTCGTAAACAAATTTTAAAACACATTTTTAATACAAAATTTCTCATAAGTTTGTCTACTTTTATCAAAAAAAAAACTGTCAACAAGAAAGTCAAATTACATTTTTATGACTTTCTGAAATTCAAATTTTTACAACATTTGATATTCACTCGATTTCTCATGTAATGATTTTCTTATTTTGTTGTGATTAAAAAACGAATGACTGTAAAATGTAGATACTTGAAAATTTCACTGAATATTTATATTAGCATTTTGTATACACCATACAATTTTGAAAATAATTATCTCTTTTTGATGTTTTAACGGACCATTTCAAATTTTAATTTTTTTAGTTTTTTTCTATAAATACCAATAAAATTGTATTTGTTGGGCCAAAAAGTCTGAAAATTGAATACAAGGCCCCTGATATATTGTTACAATATCAGTTGAAAAATATTAAATATACATAGCCATACATTTTTTTTATAAGCAATTAAAGCTCGAATTTTGACAAGATTTATCAAAATTTAATAATTATTTTGTTGTTAAAAATTTATAAAATTTTTAACATGTAGCTATACATGTTAGCTATAAGGATTGAAAATGTAAAACAATTTTCCAAGTAAATAGATTCCATTAACCGTTTTTTCTTTTTTTCTCGTACCTTTTCAGCTCCACCCTTCTTTCGTTTTTCACCAGCATCACACATAATTTAAATTGCACAGTTCAATTGAATTTGTACACTAAACACACTTCTGTAAGTACAGTAACTCGTTTGTGTAAAAAGTTCAAAATCAAAAAAAAATACAAATAATGATAAGATAAGGTTATCAATGTTATCACGTAACTAAATTCTACCATAGAGTATAAAATATAAATAATAAAATACCAATACCACAGATTTCTAAATAATACATTAGCATGAATTGGAGGGATAATAGTGATGTAAATACCAAAATTCCTACTATGAATTGCAATAGTTTAAGATATTAAAAATAATACTCGTACCTTCGTAGGTATTTGATTTTTAATATATTTTATGCTTAGTTTATAAAAATTTAATTTTTTTTGTAATTATATTGTAATAATTATAGCGGCCCTGCAGGCCCTCACAAGAACCGGCCCATCGGGAAGATTCCCGATTTCCCGATAGGCCAATCCGCCCCTGCCCCGGAGTGTGGCCCTCGACCCTCGTAAATACAATTTGTATCATACAAAAATTATATACAAACATTTGAATTTTATTTTAAAATTGACGAGATAGGTATTGTTATTGAGACAGCAAAAAAGTACAAAACAGCCTAAACATACCTATCCAGAGCCGGATTGGTTAGGCGAGCTAGGTACCTACCGAGAAAGTCTCGGTGGGCCGGTCGTGTGAGTGTGAGTGAAAATAAATTCATGTTTAAAATACGATTGGGCCACCTATAAGCTCGTAATAATTATAGACATTAGACGTAATTTTGGGCCACTGAATAAGTAAATGGGCCGCTGAATGACGAGCGTCTCACGCCAGCATGTCATTTTAGCATGAATTTTAATTAATTATTTGTTTATAAAAACCAGTTTTCCTAGTAAATGAACACATTTTTTCAGTGAATTAACCATCATGTACCTGTTAATGAACACTTAATTTATTTTTCATTTAGCTATTTCATTGAGCTTATTTTTATAATAATATTTTTTTTTAATTTAATTTTATTGCGATTGTAATATAATAATAATAAAAGTTAAAACTTTAACATAAATCAAATAATTTTAAACAAACTGAACACAACTCATTTAAAGTTAATAAAATAGTGATTATTTGATGGGCAAGTATAATTTTACATAATATTATATTTTAATGATTTTTATTTAAATTAAAAATAGTAATGTGTTAAAACATTAACATAAATTAAATAGGTACCTACTTTTAAATAATCTAATGTTTATAATTTCAATGTACCTAAATCAATTCCATCTTAAAAAAAAATTAAAACAAATAAAACAATAACTTTTAAAAGTAGAAAACCATAATAGGTAATATTATACATAGGAAATAGGTACTTATTTGCTACTTAAAAATGTTTTTAATTTTTTTTCGTCCCAATACTTTACCTGATTTAAACACATCTATGTGTATAGTAATATGTATATATATGAATTAATAGGAGTTAGTTAGTAAATGTAGTTCAATATAGGTAACTTAAGAGTAATATTAATTAATTGATAGAAAAACACTAACTAAAACAGTGAATTGTTATTAGAATATAATATTTTTTATCTGTACACACAAAACATATTATTATGACAATGCAAATTGCAATATTAGGTAACGTCAATGCAAGTGACAATCTAAATGTACATACTGTCCTACTATATACCTAGTAAATGTAAATAGTGTGAAATATTATATTGGTTTAAATGTATAGATACAACATAAATTAAAATATTTATTATACATTTATACATATTATTATTACCATTAACTATTAGTGTGTAAGATTATTATAATTATATGTATTATGCGTAATATGTGGCTAGTTATTTTTAGTATTATGTCCAGTAATGAATTTAATGTATCCACCTATAATAGTAATATTATAACTTCTAAAGAGATTATATTATGTAGAATGTAATTATGTAGAACTTAGGGAAGTTAGTAAGTTAAGGTAGTTAGATACTTAGAAGTAGCTCCATGGGCACACCAGGAGTAAATAATATTGATAGATTGTTACTATATTTTATTAATAATGGCTATTCCATCATTATGAGTGTATATAAAACAATATTATGTACATAAATGCATGTAAATGTGGGGAGAGTATAATATGACAAGCTAATTAGTAATTAGTAATATATTCTTGCATCATTGCAAATTATTCTTGTATAATATAAATTATATTTATATTTATCTATATTTACATCATACATATGAATGATCGAAAGCACTATGTACATTGATACTTTCACTAATGTCGTTTTCAAGCCCAGATACAATAGCATTAACTTCACTGGCTGTAGGTTTAGGAATAGAAGGGTCGCGACATTTTCTCTTCTTTTTAGTCGAATAGAAGCGCATTTGTGGTTCAATTTTCTGTTGGGTGTTAACATTGGCGACAGGTTTTCAAATTATTTTTTTACCAGCATCATTCATGAGAGCTATCACTTCTGCCATTTTCTTTTCTATTTTTTCCAGATCCTGTTCTTCAAATTTATTCTGGGTCAGGCCCAGAATAAGTTCGGCTTGACTCTGAATTTTTCGGTTTTCGTTGACAATGATAGGTGTTGCATTCATTTCTAATAGCATTTTCTGCTCTACTATGTTCGGTTCGTGATAGAAGTTAATCCCGCAATCATTAACAGATTCATTGAATTCTCGAGCACAAGCATGGATGTGCTTGCAAATATTCGCTCTGATGACATTATCTAAACAATCACAATGATACGAATGGATGCAGATATTGCACTTCCTGCATTTCAAACATGATGCATGCTCACATGTTTCTCCGGCCTTAAGAATGTGATATTGCCGAGAAGGATCTGATGATGATGTCATCAAATATCCTGTTTCATCTTCAAGAACTTTAATTTGATCTAATTTTATTGACTTGCTTGCTTTATGACTTTGTCGAACTTTCTGCATTTTTTCAGTAGGGACATTTTTAGCGAGGTGGATCAAACGTTTATACACACTATCTCGACAAATTTTCATCAGCGCATTAATTGTTTTATCTAAACGTTTTACTTTTCTTCCTTCTAGATATATATGTTTTAGTATTTTATGAAAAGATTCTAAGTACATATTTGTATTGATTCCAAGCAATAATCTAAAACAGTAAGCCCACAATTTCGGTCGTCGTGCATAATATTTTTCAAAATAAATTCCAAATGCTTTAGTATCATCGTCACTCATCAAATCTTCAAAAAATTTTGATAGATGATTTTGGAAATCTTGCACGGACGTTTGGTGCATCAAGACTCGCAATGTTTGGGAAACAAGTTTCCTTTTTTCAGGACCTCCACTAACTTTATTCAAATTTTCTTGCCAGTTTTTATTAACATGCCAAGAACAGAGAAGTTGATGCTTAACAGATCCCATAACCCCATGCCAAGCATTATAAAATGCTGGTGCATCATCAGACATAAAAACTTTTGCGTTGATAATTCCCACTTTCGCTTTAATTTTTTCAAAAAACAGCCTGAAAATAACCTCGTCCGATCGATTAGAGAAGCAGAAAGCAACTGGACAACCTGATCCAAACTCGTCAACTGTCATAATTGTGAACAATTGTATATCATACGCATTTGTACCGTGAGTGCCATCAATACAAATTTTCTCCATACCATATTTTTTTAACTGCTCACCTTGGAAGTCTGTCATTATTATCAGAGCAAAATCTTCTTTCTTCAACATCCCTTGCTCCTCGACTCCAACATCTTCATCCTGACCTTTGAAGTACAAAATTGGAGATTCTGTTAATGATTTCATTTCATCAACCCACAACTTTACACTGATTGCATCATTTTTATGACGTTTTGTCGCATAATCAATATTAAAATCCCGTGTGACATTATGTAAATCTTTTCGTTCAAGGAGTAACAATCGTTGGTAGTTTTCATTATCGGCTGTAGGGTCACGAATCGTATCTATGACATGCTGGAACGTCACTCCTTCCTTCAACTTAGCTGAAAAAACAAAAATTGTGATTCATTGCATATATTTTGACAAAAGAATATATTACTAATTACTAATTAGATTGTCATATTAAACTCTCCCTACATTTACATGCATTTCTGTACATAATATTGTTTTATATATACTCATAATGATGGAATGGCCATTATTAATAAAATATAGTAACAATCTATCAATATTATTTAATCCTGGTGTGCCCATGGAGCTACTTCTAAGTATCTAAACCACTGTTTTAGTCAGGGTTTTTCTATCAGTTAATCAATATTACTCTTGAGGTACCTATATTGAACTACATTTACTAACTAACTCCTATTAATTTATATATATACATATTACTATACACATAGATGTGTTAAGTACATAAACACAATGCAAACTAATACAGCATTAACTACAGAACGCTAACATCCTGAAAGTCATATTTTTATATCATATAATTAATTATATTTTAAGATCAATTATAATAACTGCAATCTTTATTTTTGATTCTTGATCTAATCCGATTCGTCCGATTTCCTGTTGATGTCCGCAATGTGTCTTCCAATAATTAACCTGAACTTTTTCTGTTCTATCATATTTAAGAATTGTCACCTCGAGCATGGATGGACAAACTCCACCAATTTTATTTGTCCCCATTGATTTGATTTCCCTTATATCGGACCCTTTCTTTCGATAACTATATGATCGATGGCAATAATAAAATTGTTTTGACTTTGAATCATTTATTCTGGCCATGGCTCTATCTGCGACAAACTTTGAGAATGTTGCTTGTTCCTCATTGAGTTTCCATGATTCAAATTCTGGAATTAACATGAAACAATTTAGTACAATATGATTAAATATATTATTTTATAAGAAGAAAAAAATTTAATTCAAGTTAAATTTATTCATTTGTTGGTAATTGAAACATGAAAACTCTGAAACACAGACTGAGGATGATATGGTGAGAAAAAAAACTCATTAAATTAGACAATTGTTTAGTGGAGTTCTATCTTATTTAGAATAGGAACGTAATACATATTTGGGTAATTAACTGTAATGAACCCGGTTAAAAATTGTGTCCAACATCAGGTAAAGTATTGGGACAAAAAAAAATGAATAACATTCTTAAGTAGCAAATAAGTACCTATTATGGTTTTCTACTTTTGAAAGTTATTGTTTTATTTGTTTTAATTTTTTTTTAAGATGGAATTTATTTAGGTACATTGAAATTATAAACATTAGATTATTTAAAAGTAGGTACCTATTTAATTTATGTTAATGTTTTAACACATTACTATTTTTAATTTAAATAAAAATCATTAAAATATAATATTATGTAAAATTATACTTGCCCATCAAATAATCACTATTTTATTAACTTTAAATGAGTTGTGTTCAGTTTGTTTAAAATTATTTGATTTATGTTAAAGTTTTAACTTTTATTATTATTATATTACAATCGCAATAAAATAAAATTAAAAAAAAATATTATTATAAAAATAAGCTCAATGAAATAGCCAAATGAAAAATAAATTAAGTGTTCATTAACAGGTACATGATGGTTAATTCACTGAAAAAATGTGTTCATTTACTAGGAAAACTGGTTTTTATAAACAAATAATTAATTAAAATTCATGCTTAAGTTAAATTTACTTTACATAATTTAAATTTTTATTTTACAGACATTCTTTAGTAGAAACTTCATATAGCAAGTAAGGCCCTAACACTAAATTATAAGTATATATAAACCATGTAATGTTGAAAACCCCTTAAGTGTTAATTTCAGTCTTGTTAAATATTCGAATACTTGTATTTAAATACTTTTTTTGTATTTCAAATACTTTTCAAATACTTTTTGACTAATGTATTTTAAATACTTCAAAAATACTTTTTATTTATATTTTTATTCTATAGAATACTAAATACTTTTTTTCCTTTTCGTGGTCTACTCCAAATTCCAATTACTAACAATTCGGAATGTACTATTTTAAATTTTGTTTATAATATTTTAAATATTATTTTAAAATCGTTCGAACATCTGATAATTTATAAATAAGGTTTCGCCAAATTACAAGCAGATAACAGAGTGACTGAACACTGGAACCCCTATCGGCTTCTCACTCCCATATTATACCATGGCATACAAGACACTGACCACCACTGGTTGGATTGGCATTTATCTTGAATCTTTAAATAGTCTTTCTTCTTATTTAATAGGCGGTACAGTGGTAGTAGTTTATAATTTGAATATAAGATATTGGTAATAATGTTGTTGAACTTTTTTTCTTGTCATATTTATTTTAATATGTAAAATACTAAAATCTGTATAAAATATTTTTACAATAAGATTGTCCTTATGGAGGGATACATAAAATGGTTTGGTTGGCTTGGTTAAAGAAAATAATCAATGGGTAGTAGTGGTTATAGTCGACTATAGCCATTGAATTGATTGAATTATTGATTATTAATTATTCATTTATTGATTTTAAAATAAAGTATTTTTGTAAGTATTTTGAATACTTTTAAAAGGTATTTGTATTTATATTTAAATATATAATACTTTTAAAAGAAAGTATTTGAATACGTATTTTAAATACAAATTACACCAAGTATTTAAATATGTATTCTGAATACATTTGAAAAGTATTCTTAACAAGACTGGACTTAATTTACTGGTGCTGTTGCCCTAATCTGAATAAAAAAAAATTAGGTTTCTGAATTCTTCCTAAATTCTAACTAAAATAATAGGATGTGTTAACACATAATTGTTTTTTATAACTAAATTTCTTACTGTGTATATAATATTGTCAATCAAATAAATAGTGAATAAAATAAAAATGAATGAATGCGTGTAAAACAATGATGTAAAACAATTCTAAACTTATTTAACTAGGTACCTATTTAGATTAGTGTGATGTATTTACCTGCAATGCCACAAAATTCAATGATTTCGGACTCTACTTTCACTTTATGTTCTTCTAACAAATGATGTCTCAGATTTGGGAACGTAAATAATTCTTTTCTACACGCTTCGTATGTGCATATTATCCTGGTGGTTTTTAATTTGTTAGGATTTTCACTGCCTGGATGATACTTCGTGATGTGAGTATCTAATGACTTCTTATTCAAGAATTTCTTGTCACAAAATTGACAAAAACAGTCTTTAGCGGGTAGAAGATCCGACACAAGTTTTTCATCATGGAATTTTCGCACATGACAATACAAACTTTTTTTTTGTGTAAATTTAATGCCACAAGATGGGCATTTGATTTCGGATTCCATACCAAATTAACACTTTAATCCACTTACATTAACATAGACAAATTCGCAACACTTTTTGTACTTACCTACGTTATATAATTTATATTTTATGCAATAAACACTATCTATAAATAACACATCATAACACACGGTATCATCGGCCGTACAATATTCAAACAGCAGCCCAGACCCCAGAGGCAGCACATAGCTAGCATATATATTTAGCCATGGTGCATTTGATCATTTTGTGCTATATGTATGATGTGAATATTGAAAAGAAAGTAGAAATAGAAAAATGTAAATAATATGTATATGGATAGTGTATTATATAAATATAAAATCATGAACCTCGTGATATTATATTATACCTACTAGAATAAATGTTCATGTTCAATTTAGTTTCTCATTCGGTGCACCTTACCCATATACTATGATTTTGGAACAATTGCAGTTTTTTTTCCATGTAACTCATCGAGTTAAGAACGATGGTGCAATCAGAATTTGTCGCTCTCGCTTAGTTTCGAAGTTATGGCCTTTCAAAGTTTTCAAACCATGATAACATGATAACAATGCCAGAGGCCGCCGTGATGTGCGCGCAATGGATGCCAAAATGACATGCTGGCGTGAGACGCTCGTGCTGAATGTATCCCACAGACTTCTATACTACTAATATATAGAAATCTGTGATGTATCCACAGACACTTGTGTGTGAATGTGTGATACTGTGATTAGATAGTAATATCTTAAATCGTGTTCTGAATGAATTGCTATCAGTTTCAGTTATTATGGTATCATTTATCAATGTTTTATAATTTTTAAATTTTTTATACTGATCAAAATATGTGGTCTCTTTTGAATCAAAAACAATAATTATTAATTTAGGTATCTATATAGTTTATTGAATAAATTGGTAGATTATTATTATTTTTTTTTCAACTGTAACAATGTAAGAATGCTATGTAGGTCTGTGTTGAGTAATTGCGCCCATGGAACGCAGTTATTAAATCGTTGAATTCAGCTCCTCTACTTAATTTTTCCCAATTCGAGCACTGTGTATAATATATATAATATATATACATATATTATATATATCTGTGGGTATATCAGTGGATATCATTAACCGTGGGCAGTAGATAACTTAAATAATCGATAATAGCAATAATAGATTATTTTATCACAATGATTAAAAACAATTTTCAAAATTAAAATATAAATAGTAAATTTAAAGAAATGTAAAGTTGTCAGTTGTATTTTCTACTCCTTTTTGTTTCGCATGAATATAAATTGAAAATTCAGTTTTTATTTTGCATAATCCAGTGCGACTTTGACACTTGGAAGTATACATTTAGTTTATTCAAATATAATTTTAACTTCTCACTTACGAGGTAAGATCTTAATTCATGATCAAAAATCATTTATTTGTACCTGTAACAATAAATTAGGTAGGTACCTTAATTTATAGTTGAAAATAGAATTTATATTATTAGAATCCTTGGACAACCAAAATTGTGAATTATCACTTGGTCACTTGTTGCAAGAGAGGTGGGAATTTTTTGGTTGTTAAAATGATAAATGTAGGTATCTATAGTGTTACCTATACCATACAGAAGACACAGAATTCTATGCTAAAGATCCAAATTTCAATTTGGTTTCAGTCAGTGATACTAATCCATGTCTACAACAAAGAACAGTTTTATTCAAAATCGTCAAAAGATCTAAAGATTGATTTGACCAAATAATTTCTGAACATTATTTGTTTATTTTGATTCGCTCAGTCACAACCAGGTACTTATGGCTACTTTGCTGTTGAAATCACATAAGTAGTCTTGTACTCTTGTATAAGCTGCTACAAAACTGTTAAAACTGGTAACAATAATATCCGATTGCTTGTATCTTGTGGACTTGTCAAAATGATTACCTATATAATTAAACAAGACGTGGTTTTTTGTATTTCATGGCTTTTATTATTTATGTACAGTAAATTTTTAACAGTACTTATGTACAATTTTTAAACGGCTATCAATACACTCAATATAATTCTAGTCTTCTGAAATCTATTTTAAATTATAATCTAAGGTCAATATTTATGGTACCAATACTTGTAGTTAAAAAGTTATCAATGTAGCTTGTTAATATTACATTTTTATTATTTTTCATCTCAACTGTTAATTTATTTGTGAATTTTAGTTGTAAATTTGTTATAACTTGTTTTATACATATCCAACAACCTACCAACTAAAATTTATCAAAAGAGCAATCACAAATATATGATTTAAAAACATTTTAGTTTTACAAGCGTTACATTGTATTTTACTATTTTGTTTTGTCTATTATAGTATGAATGACATTTTGGAAAATGAAGAATCTGCTGTATTGAAATTTGTCCAAGATGTTTTTAATAGCTATGATAAAAACCGTCATATACTCCACACATTGTTCCTAGAAGATGGTACATTTGTTGTGCTTGGCAACTACATGGTAGGCCACTCATCAATTCAACAAGCTATGTTAACAATGGCTACAACAACTCATCAACTCTTCAGTATTGACATTAATAGTATCAACATGCAACTGCCAGAAAGAGTATCAATGTATCAAGTACTATGTGCAGGTGAAGTGGAGTTTGGAAGTGATCCACAAATACACGGATTTACTGCTACTCTTTTAGTATATTTTCAGATGCCCAATGTTTTGAATGTTCTATCATTTGACGAACGATGTCTATGGCCTAAATTGTCCTAGTGTTTCAATAAATAAATGTATAAAATACCAAAAGGAATAAAATTGTTTTTAATTTTATAATATTACACATTTACAATGGCTATTTTGTTTTATGAAGAAAAAAAATTAATGTTTGTAAATGAAAAAAAAATGTTGAGCATAGAATTATGAATATATGTACAGCAATTCAATTTTTTCCACTACAAAATATTATAATAATAAAGGACACACACACATACAAAATTCTCAAAATAATATATAAATGGTTTCCATGGTAATATGAACAGACAGCATACATTCATTTATATACAATATACATAATATAGATTTACAAATTTTATGCATTTTATATAATTTTCAAAATTATATTTGCAATAATTTAAAAAATATTATAATTAACCTATTTTTTTATTAAAAAAAATAATTAAAAATTGTTATTTAATTATTTAATATTATATTATACCTATTAGTTGATGACAATAATTTTATATTATTTAATTATATATTTGCTTGTACAACTTGGGTATAATATATATTTAATAATATTCTATAAGTATTAATTAAATACCTTAAATATATAATATTAATTATTATTGAACTTTATGTTTTGGCCGAAAAGGGAAGTGTACGTTTTTGGTCGAAAACGGTCTTGCCCTACTACATATATATGCAAAGGTTAACTAGTTAAAAAGTTATTTTTTTTTAAACTTTTTAACTTAACTAGTTAGTTTATTTTCTAATCAACTTATGAACTTAACTAGTTTAATTTACAGTTGAAAACCCTTAGCTTTTCTCAGTTAATTTAAAAAAAATCCATCAAGTTAAAAACATTTTGATTATACATAAATATTACTATATCAGTATAAAATAAAAATAATCCAATACAAAAACACAAACATTTCTAACCACGTACCTAACACATAATATATTGAATATTACCAATTGCTTACTGTAATTTATACCTGACTGTCCTAACCAAAACTGAATATTTGAATCCAAAAAGGGAAGGACAGATAAAAAAAGTTGGACAAGTGGGTGTCGCTCTACTGTACAGTAGTGGTTCACTGTAATGGATTGTTAAATTTGAATTCAATGATATAATATCATTGTATAAGAAAAACGATTCTGAGTAAAGCCGGTCAGTTATCATATGATATTTATTATTAATTACTAAGTATCTATAATTAATGATATTATTGTGTATAAAGTAATTTATATTTAATTTATATTTTTGATTCAACGAATAAAGTTTCTACATATTTTATCATATTAAACATCTCAAAACGAGTCAAACTATTTTCAAAATTGTGTGGTGTATAGAAAATGAAAATATAAACATTCAGTGAAATTTTCTTGTAACTACAGTCTACAGTTATTCGTTTTTGAATTATAATTAATAATGTAGTTTTGAAAAGTACACAATTGTATACTGTAAGTGATGGTATTGTGTTAATTGACAGCATAATAATTTACTTGACAATTGCTAGCACAAAATCAGTTTAATAAAATAGGTAGAAGAAGTCAGTGTAATTTGAAATGTTTTAATTACTCTAACTAGTTACAAAAAAAAAATCTCTAGTGTCAATAATTTTTTAGTAAAATAAAAATATTGATTTAAATTTAAATTTAAAAAAAATGGGTAAGTGGATGTCGCTCTGTTGTACAGTAGGTTACAAATGGGTCACTGTAATGGATGGGGTTAAATTTGAATTCAATGATATAATATCATTGTATAAGAAAAACGATTCTGAGCGAAGTCGGTCAGTCAGCCTATGATCTTACTAAGCATAAATTTGATGATATTATTGTGATTAAAGTAATTTATATATCTATAACCTATTGATATGTGGAACCTTATTTAAAATTTTCAATCCTTAGATATAAAAATTGAACATTTTATACATTTTTAACTACAAAATAATTATTAAAATTTGATTGATTTTGTCAAAATTTGAACTTTAAATACTTACAAAAAAAAATTATGTCTATGTATTTTTAATATTTTTCAACTGCAATTGTAACAGTATATCAGGAGCCTTGTATTAAATTTTCACCCATTTTTAACGAACAAATAAAATTTTATTGACAATTATAGAAAAAAAAATTAAAAAATAGAAAACTGACAATGTCCGTAAACAGCTCAAAAAAAGTCAAAATATGTTCAAAATGTTATGGTGTATAGGAAATGAAAACATAAACATTCAATGTAATTTTTATGTATCTACAGTTATAAGTTTTTGAATTACAACAAAAGAACAAAAATGTTCTAGAAGAAATGGAGTGAATATCCAATGTTGTAA